TGAGCTAGAGGATCAGCTTTAAACAGCTGCTCAAAGTAGCCGACTAAGTGAGTCACAACTGCCACATCATCCCTATAGACCGTTCCATCACCCGTCCTGACTGCGACTCTCTGAGGAACAGATTTGGATGTGTGTAATTCTTCGATTCCTCTGTAAGCACGAGGTGAGTTGCTATTCCATAGATGGTGTGTCATTTACTCACAGATTAATCTTTCAAATGCCTCCTTATCTGCCCTCAGAAGCCTTGAAGCCATCATTATCCGTTCCTGATTCAGACTGGAGTTGCCATCAAGCTGCTTGCTGCGACTCCTCTCGATGATATCCAGGGAACTCTGCCGGATGAAACACCACCTTCTGGGCACACCTGCACCACCAACACAACCCTCAGCAACCTTCAGTGCCCTGTCACAGAGGGTCTCCCACACCACGTTAGAATCAGCAGTCATACCCAAGTCTGCATGTTCCTCACATAACCTGCAAGCAAACTCACTAGAATCAGCCTGATATTGGACATTGGACACTATCAGGGAGAGCCGATCCACCACAGCAACAGCTACTCCCTGAGTAGGGCAGCCATCAGAGCAACCAAATCAACAATTGGTATCCCACCTACCGAGATCTGGCCAATCTCTGGCCTGCGTACCTCAGAGAGTTCCGCCACCGAAACGCAGAGTTTACGAAGCTCCCCCAACAGCAGAGGAAGATGGTCATATGGACCAGAAAGACAAGACGTTCCGCGTACTTACCCGGATGGGCTACATCAGATTGGGACCCAAGTGTATCTGTGCAGCAGACGACGCCTCAACACAACTCCAATTCCAATCCCCCAACCGGATGAACCGGATGAAGTTTGACGTCATACCCAGGACGGTAGTGAACACATAAAAAACATCATGCATTGTCATATATAATTGAAATAAGAAAAATGCTTCATAGCCTTATATGAACCATGCTGTTTTTTCATATGGCAAGACAGTTTGACATGCATAAAATAGTAGTTTTGCACCAATAGTAGTTTTGATTTCCAAAGAGCTATTAACTGAAAACATGCTATATCTCAGCATGGTGATACAGTAGTTATTCTTTTGTCCTCCACTTGTCCAGTTCCCTGAATTTTTTCAAGTACATATGGACAAGCATTTTTTACACAGAAAATGGACTGAAAAACAGTGGCAACAGGTCTTACAGAGCAATGAATCCAAATTTGAAATTTACGGTTCATATCATCAATATATACGGAGGAGATCAGGAGAGAGCTGTAACAGTGAGCGTCTAAAGGCATCAATAAAACATGGTGGAGGCTCTGTGATGGAATGTTCTTCAAGAAGCCAGGAGAACTATTCCTGAAGTCGACTTAAAGAAATGACAAGAAAGCTTGCCTAAGACACTCCAGAGTGTATTGAAGAATAATGGTGGTCATACCAAACATTAACTTTAAAGCTCGTTAGAGCTACACAAACTCTTTGTGTTATATACTGTATTTACATGTATGTTTGCACATGTTGCAATAAATCACTGTGCCTATTGTCCCGTCTTCCTAGCGAAATCTAAAGAAATGA